ACGGGTCCATAGGTGGTCCACAGACATAACTTGTAGCGGCGTATAATTTGCTTTAAATGAAATAAATTTATTACATTTGGGAAGATTTATTGGTCAAAGTAAAACGTATAATTGTTTCAGTTTTATATTATGACAATTAATATTTTTAAAACAAAGAAATTTGCATATGTACCTTTGACGTAACTTTGAAAAAAACCCTGGTCGGCTCATTAGAGTCTGGCAAGCGAAACGTGTCACAAGAAAAGGGCGGCAATTTCAAAAATTCTTAAGCAGTAAACACTGAATGTAGTACTGCAAAATAATTTTGATACTTTTATTAATTATATTTAATCTTAACATTTAGATATCAATTAAAATTATTTGTTTTGGAACATTTGACTAAAGCGTGACTGTTCTTAATTGTACAGTTAACAGCATATCAGTAGGCCTATTCACTAACTCAACTGACAACCAAGAATCGTCATCACCGTAAAAAATAGACACTTTGATTGTGTCAAAATCACTATTTCGTATTCTCTATCAATGATGAGCAATTTCGAAATGTCAATATCGGCATTCTCCACTGGACTCCATTTTGACACTTGATTTCGTATCGATAAACTGTATTAAAGTAACATTGTTGCAAAGCATATTTGAAGTCGTCGCATAGTACCTCTTAAGCCATTTGTTGTTAAATTAAAGCGAAAAAAAATACGTATCCAATATTTTTCTATTATCTGACTGACGGACTAAATCGAATCTTTTTTTTAACCCATTCGTTATACCTATTGGCTAACAGCACTTATAATATTAAAAATTCATATTTGTCATTAATTAAAAGGGTGTTTTTTGCAACGACTTCTTTGTTTTTTTGTAATGAATATGGGCGACTCTGGCCACATTTTTTTAATAAATGTGATGTTAGCCAATTTTGATTTCTGGCCCTTATATTTATAATGTGTTCATAACACATACATGTCTCCTAAGGGATTTTCATCACAACCTTTTGCTCTGATCCAGAACCACTATCTATCAAATTAAATTAGTCAATATAAACACCAGATTACAATAAAAAAAACATTTATTTTTGTTACAATTAAGTGCCATGGATAAATTACATAATACAGGTGTCACAAAATCATCATGTTAATCACAATAGAAAATTTAAGATAAGATTTTGACTATGAATCAGACTAAAAATACTTTAGTCTGATTCATAGTCAAAATCTGTTTCTAAATATTCTACACCTGATAACAATGACAAGGAATCATCAGAGTCACTCTCTTCACTACTGTCTGCACCAACAGATATAATAAATTTTTCAAGTTCGTTTTCAACAATGCCATCTTTTAATTTGTAATCATTTTCCACATTTAAAACATGATCAGTGTATTTCTTCCAGTCACTAGGGGTAATTAAGTTAAAACACTCTATTATTAAGTTTTCCATTTCCTTTCCTGGTATTCCAATGTTTCTGCTTGCAATTTTTCTTTTTGCTTGACTCCAAACCATCTCTATTGGGTTTAAGTCACAATGATACGGTGGCAGCAATAAAAGTTCATGATTATGTTCTTTTAAAATCTCTTCAGCTTCATATACAGGCAATGTTTTCTTATCATTAACCAAACACATTAACTCTGCCTTTGTCTGATATTCCTCAAAATGTATTCCATTATTTACAAGCCATTTACGGATATCTGCTTTGGTATTAGACATTATAGGCGGTTTATTGATTTGTTTTATATGGTAGCTGGCATTATCCATAACAATTACACTGGGCTTACTTAAATTTGGTATTAATTTTTCTCTGACCCATTTCATAAAGTTCGATGAGTTCATATCATCATGATAATCAGCAGATTTGGATTTACTACTGAACACTAATAATGCACCAGGCACAAAACCTTCCTCAGATCCAGCATGCACAACAATATGCCGTTTTCCAGAGGATATCTTTGTAGTGACACCAGTTGTTGAAGGTCCTTGCCAAGACTTTTTAACTTTATAATTCTGATGTACATAAGTTTCATCAAGGTACACAATTTGCTTTCCTTCGTTTCGTTTTATATTTATTTCTCTCAAATACTTGTGCCTCCATGCAGAAATCTGGTATTTTTCTATAAGCATAGAACGTTCATTTTCATTGCTTTTAAAAGAAAATCCATTCTTAAGCATAATTTTTCGTAAAGTCTCACGGCTACCACTGAATCCTATTGCATCTTTTAATTCATTGTGAAGGCTTCTTAATGTTGGAACAATTTTTTTCACACAGTAAAATTCATTTACTTTATTCCGAATTGCACTTAAATCAAAATTATCTAAAGCAGACACTGTTGGTTGATGAGGTCGTTTTTTCCCAGGAGTGTCCCATTTTCCTTTATTAATTAATGCTTCATTTTTTATCCTTCTTAGTGTCCTTATACTTACATCTATAAAAGATTAAACACTTTGAAACAAAGATATGTTAAATGTATTTAAAAGCAAATAATGATAGACACATACATCAAAATAATTTAAATACCTATTCAACTATGAATGCAATTTATGTTTAATTTAGTTAAGTTTATGTGCATATTTAGCATGTATAACAATTACATGGTTTGATTAGTTTCATGAATTCTGTGAATTTCCTTGTTAAACAAAACATTCTTATGACATCATTGGATGTCAACAATAAAAACCAATACATCATAAAAAACCTATGTAAATATTATAGGAATACTATCAATCTATCTTAAATCAAAACAAGAAAAGAGACCTGTATACAGCCATATTTTATGCGTGGATACGTCTATGTATGAATGGATATATGAGTAATTGATAAAAAAAAAATCAAGAGCGAGCGAGTAAGAATTAGGGATGAGTTTCTACTTCATCTGTTATGTTTAAGTACCTACAGTAGGAACTTGAACAGATTTTTTTTATAATATGATTGGTAATGTATATCAAACATGTAACATGCAATTAAAACATAACTACATTAAAACATGCAATACTCTCAAATGCTTAGCCAAATATTAGCATACGATTATGTGCTAATAAATAGTATTTGATTAAATCATATACGAATATTGTATTCAGTTTTAAAAAGTTTTTTTTATATTTCGCCATTTATTAATATGTCAATTTATAACGAATGAAAAAATCGTTCGTAGTGTAAAAATAAAAGTGTAATCAAGTTATCGATTATTATATACATTACAAGTAGAACATCCTTAACAGCTTCATGTACGACATGACAGTAAAGATGTCGGCGATTTATTGTAAAATATTCATGCTTGTTCATATTGGGGCCATTTTCGACGATGTCCTTTACTTGAATTTGCACGAATTTATTTATTTTTATTTAAAGATTAGCAAATTCACTCAAAAATATTTTACATTTTATTGCTAACGCATATAAAGCTATATTTACGTGTTCGTAGATGGATGTGTACATATGCATACGTATGGCATAAAGCTAATATTTTTTTTTATTGTATTGTATATTATAATGATACCTTTTGAATAATTTTTCCAGATTTGTCAATTATATATGCCGTAAAATCTGCTTCTTTAAAATGTTTTTCACAAACATAAAAATTTTCACCAACATCCAGGTTAGGAAACACATCACGAATAGCTTTTAACCACTTGTGGCACATCTGTTTTATAATCTTTGTCGACCACTCTGTGGCAACGTAATCTATGATATTTTGTATTTTGTAAGTGGCACTTCAACATCAAATAGTCTGAAATAAAACTCATAACTGTGAACACGTTTATTTATTTTACCGATCCTTCGTATAAATAGAGTCAGATAGTAAACTTATCAATAAGTTAAATATCAACCTATATACTAATAAACAAAACACATAACATTTCGGTAAATTGGTGACCTCAATACAATAATCGGTAAACACTCTTCACGTCTATCAATGTTCTTTGGCACTCTAAAAACTGAACGATTCGCTTCTCCAAAACAACCCGGAATTATGCAACGTTGTGGCATAATTGCATTTATTAATGAATAATTCAAAAAAATAAACAAATTGAAGACACTAAACACTAAATAAATAAATATTCGTTGCGTTCATTTGTTGAATGAAAAAAGTATTCACTAGCGCCAACAGATGGCGTTAGTGCATATACTCCTGCTCACAGAATGACCCCCCTGTAGAACGAAAACATAGACGTATCCACGTCAAAAAATGGTTTATATTACAAGATTACTTTGAATTTAAGATTGGGATATGTCAAATGTGACCTACTCTTATGACCAACTGTGATGGCTGATGGTTTTCCTAGTGGATCATAAAATTATATTTTCATAATATTATACTCGCCTCCTGTACCAAAATGTATAATTTTAAAATCAGATGGGATGTCAAAAAAATATTGAGAAAATGAATAAAAAAGTTAACCTTTCGTGATATTTTTTCACAGATATCTGGCACAGGCCTTGAAATAACTGTTGTTGTTTCCACTTTTTGTGTTTTGATTTTATTTAAGATAAAAAATTGTGGTATTATATTTCTCTGTATTCAGTTGTTTCTCTTCATCATAACTTTTTGAACTTGGTTGAATTTTTTTAAATTGTTTTTGACACTTGATTTTCGAAAGTCTAGTCGGTGAAATAAAGATACGGGTGAATAGCATGCTGAATCGTTGGCAACATTGACGGTGACGTCATCAGTTTATGTTTAGCGAGTGAGTAGTTACGAAAGTAACGAATTTTATTTCTTGGTTACACGCTCGTATTTATGTACAATATAGTGTACAACTTATTATTATAAATAAATGTGTTATTAGTGTTTGTACTTGTGTACAGTGTGCAATAATATATCCACATTTCCAAGAATATTTTTGAACAATATTTCGTTGCTTTTGGCGGCAGCACATGAAGCCACAGAAATAGATTCCCTTGTGCAATCTGTTAATAATAAAAATTTGGTGGTTTGCAATTGGACTAATTAGAAGTAGGTCACGGTCTGTGGGAAAGTTTTTATAAATATGGTGTTGAAGTAACCGATAATAACAAACGTCTGATGAAACCATGGAGAATCCAACTGTTACTGGATTGAGGTCAAGGTCGCGCTCCAAAACACCATTTCTCAGATCGAGCTGTGACCGGGAAAACTGTGCTGAAGGAGAGGATCACACACACCATAAATCTGGAAGGAAAACTCCTGTGAAACGAAGCACTCCTATAAAGTGAGTACTTACTAGAAACTAGTATTTCTATGAACTCATAAATATAATTCTCTCTACGAACTATGTTTGAATACAGCCGAATTCTATGATTGCCAATGTGTTTTTTATACAAAGCTATTAGAACCTACTACAAAATGTGAATGAACTAACCTTAAAACTGAAGAATCACCCTTTATTAGCATCTTGTGATAAATTTGATGTAGTTATCAGCAATTAACAATCATAAAGTTATTGTGAGACTTTTTGGAATTCTGACACTGTAAATCATAATATGTTAATTAACTTGATAAATATACCTTATCCTAATCTTTATATCATACTCAATACTCAAATGTTTATTACAAACCATAGTGTTACATAGATGTTACAAAATAATAATATCATAATCAAACTATGGACCCTGTGGGGCATGGCAACATTTTAGAGAGAGGAGCTGGGCACAGTAACACTTTAAACAAATCAAAAATAAAATAAGTTGTCAAGCAATTTAATAATCATAATTCTGCTACATCAAATACTAAATAAAATAAAATTATAAGTATAATAATTATTATCAACAGTTATATAATTTTATTTTTAATAAATATTTTATTTTACTATATTATTTTACTTTATTAATTTAATATTATTGTTAAAATATAATTTAATTTAATAATCATAATTCTACAATGTTAAAGACAAAATAAAATAAAACTGTAAGTCTACTAATTATAATTAATAGTAGTTAACTGAAACCTCAGTTTAAAGAAAAAATATACTGTATGTTTTGATTATAGTAAGAGTTTATTAATGTTGATGAATTAATGGGTTTATAGACTAGAAAGCTTCTATTTTAGTCAGTAATAAACGAAAAAGGGTAAAACCTTTGCTGAAATCTACAATACAAGTACCTTTTTTAGTTAAATAAATTTAAAATGCATACATACACAAATTTATTGTATATTGTAAATATATGGTACATCAAGGAGTGTTTAAGCACATGTTACATATTTTTATTATTCTTATTAATGACCTTGATACATTAATCTTCTTTGATAAAAAATCTTTTGTCAAATAAAATGCAAGGTTCTCTATACAAGCGATAAAGGATAACTTTGTGTGTTCTATGACGTCACTAGCTATTGCATCAGTATTATTGGGTTGCTCATGGTCATGGGGCTTTGTTGACCTCATAGATTTATTGTAACCACAGAAAATCTAATATGATTGATCTATTAAAAAATTGTACCTACCAAATTTTATAAAACGGAATATTAGTAAAAATTAGTATTATTGATATGTTGAAACTCTGCAAAGTCCAGGCATCTCAAATTTTCAGGATAGATTATTTGTTGATATTTCTTTAGAAAATTATGCACTAATTGTGTTTTCAGATTTTGTTAAGCATTAGTTTCTCTTTCTTCGCTTAATGGTTTGTTTTTGGCTTAAAAATGTCCTCCATAGACATCAAATAGAACTCTCAACTCCACTGATTTGATACTTGATGGGCCTAATGTAAAAAAACTAATAATATCTATACTAATTATTTATGACATATGACTGAAATAGTGGCATTTCATTGGCTGAAAAAGACTTTGCCGTTTTCAAATGTAACTAATATGGACTTTGTTAGTTTTTTTGCCAACTGTTAACTTTCAATTGCATTAACTATGCCACTTAGCTAGTTTTGAAATACTTGGGTTTTAGAAGATTTTAGAAAAAACAAAAAGATATGTACCATTGCCATAAAAGTATAACATCAGGAAAAAAAAATATTTTGCAGAGTTTGAAACTATATGCCTCTATTATACTTTCAGTGATTTAACAGATAACAGTATGTTTGAATGTGTAAAATTTAATGTTAAGAATAATTTAAATATTAAATTTATGAATAAAACTAATTAAATCAAAATTGCTATAAATAAGAGTATACCCCACATACTTATGACCCTCCACCTTTAATCCTGTAGCACATTAATAAAGGAAGTCTGTCACTAAAGTCTGTTTTAATGTATTGCATAAAATAAATAAATAAATGCTAAAATTAAATTAAAAAAATAAATGCCTATGACACAACATCATATATTCAGATCTCAAATTCAATAGTTTATAGCACTTGTATTCTGAAAATCCGAAACATCTATGTATCACAAAACCCAGACCAAAGACAATATAGAAAAGTTAAATTTATACATTGACCTGATTATGAATGAGCTCCAGGACTTCAAGAGATGGCACCACTTTAAAACTGCCGTGCAAGCCACTCTGAACGGAGGTTGAAATGCTATATTACATTGTGAATTTATTGAATATAATATAATCAATAAAACCCCTAACTTTGTCTAGGCAACTGCAACAGCCTTCAAGGAAAATGTCAACAGATATAATAACTGAAACGGATGAAGAGCAAGATGGTCCTGCACATCGCACACGACAATCAACGCGAATCGTCGAGAACACCAGTGACTATTCTTCTAGTGAAAGTCAAGACAGAGCCAAGAGTCACAGGAGAGAAGCTGTACAGGTATGTGCCTGCTGGATTTAGCGTCTAATTTAAGAAGGATCTGGCAAAATTACGAGCGCGGGCAAGTTGACGGCACTGGATGATCCGACACAATCCTTAAATTTCTAGTTAGTGAGAAAAATATCGTAAAATTTTCCATGATATAGTAGACTGAGAGAAGTAGCTCGGTGGCGTGGTGGATAAGCGCCACGGCCCGCGATCGTTGTTGTTACGCAATTTTCGCAAGGGTCGTTTACGAGATGGGTGACGAAAAAATTATTATCTCGGGCTACTCCGTGCTTTAGAAGGCACGTTAAGCCGTTGGTCCCGGCTGCATTTACAGTCGTTAATACCCTTCGATCCAGATTGGACCAGCACGGAGGGTCATGGCACATTTTTTCTTTTGTAAAATGCCTTTTTCATGGTTCCGTACTGAAAGGGTAAAAACGGGAATCTTTTGTTAACTCTTTCCAGACAGAATGTCTCTCACCAGGCTGTATCCAAAGCTATACAGTTGAAATTTTCACAGATCATTAATTTCTGTTGCCTCTATAACAACAAATACAGAATAAAATAAATATTTAAAAGGGCTCTCATACAACGAACATGTTGTTTTGGGTTATAAAGATAAATGGTACTGAACGGTACCCTTCACGCGTGAGCACTTGGCCGCTTTTTTACCTGTATATTTGTGAAGAAGTCCCAGTAGACAACTATATGTCATTTCAACATTTTAACGTGTCATCTTTAGAATAGCAAGCTCATGGCTAATATGGTAATTGGTAGTTTCATTGATCAAGGTAAATGCTTGGAAATGTGACGTTTATGTTTATGTCATTGCGTCACAATATCACAGTTTCATTGCATTCGTGCAGTTAGAGTAAAAAAGCTCTTATCACTTTAGAATTGGGTGTAATTTTAAATGACACAAGGTTAATATGAGAACCTTCAAGGTTTGGCAAATGTTTAGATTAAGTACCTACATACAAATTAGATCTAAAAGATTATAACTTTTTGGTTAGTGAGGAAATCTAACTCGCGTACATGAATGTATGTTTTTTTTTGTACAATAGAAATTGTATAGACAAATTAAAATATCCTAAACTAAACGGGATTGTGTTATTTAAATACAAAGTTCCCATGGCGACATTCCATTTCTATATTAGACCCTGAATGTTATCGGGGACTAAAGTCCTTAACAAGACAAATCAAAATGCGGTGGAGAAGTTCCCGGGCTACCTTCAGGCTCCTTCATCGGATCAGCCCTATTACATTGTCACCTAATAATATAATGTTCTCCCGTGACTTTGCCCGCTTAAACACTGTCACCCGCGAGATGTATTTATACATATAATTTGTACCTCAACAAAACAAATACAAAACATAAAATTTAACTTCATTTCTCTCTAGTAATACTTTTTGTTTCTTTCGTAGATAAATAGTTTACTACGTAAATAAATAGTCGATGAATAGGTTATACCTATTGCCTTGACATATTTACCAGCGTGTGACGTCACAAATACCACATGATCAGAACATAGAGCAGCGCTTTTAGCGCGCTTTTGGCTGTTTAAACTTTAACAATTATTTTCATCGAAAATAGAACAGATTTCCATGAAATAATATTGACAGTGTGTTTAAAATGTACCAAACATCCATTTAAAACAGTTTTCAGAAAAGTGTCAAATACCCTATTGAAAATCAGATAGTGAGTTTTTTTTAGCTTATAAGATAGATCCCACAAAACCTTACATAAAAACATGTAACAAACATTGTCAGATTAGCAAAAGTAGCAAATGCTACGGGCCCCGCGCTTTTGCTGGCTCTGGGCCATTGAGAGTCCAATAAATTATTTTTGTTCAAAAACAAAAGAACTAAAATAAGCCATGCTTCTGCCGAACCTCGTATTTTTAAGGATAAACATGTGATTGGAAGTATGACCAACATTTTTGGGAAGCCATAACCCACAACGTACCATTATTTTGTTGTTCAACCTCAAGAACAAAAAGGAGCGCTTTAAATATCTCAAACAAATTTGCTACAGGCCCCGCTCTGGCTTAATCCGGCACTGGTGACAAAAGTTAAAGATAAGTAATCTCAATTTCACGAATAGATATTATTCGGTGGTATTGTTAAAAATGACGCACTGTTTATTATGTTTGATAAATTTTACATTCAAGATGCTATATTGATATTTATCTTAATAGGGCCATCCATAAATTATGTTATACAAATAGAGAATATGCGTCTGATTCAAAAAAGGGTTAAATATATTTTATCACAATCGTCATTGCTTTAGAATAAAGTCTATCTAAATGTTTTACAAAATTTGTTCGATTTCGACTTAAAAATAATTATTAAAAAGTGCAAAATAAATGCGGTAACTTCAAAATATTTAAACGCCAAGCTACTTGTCAGAGCGGATGTGACGAAAATGTACACGAATAGGGATGTCGTTGTTACAAAAAGTTAACATCGACGCAATAACATCAAAGTATTAAGCCGCAAAATAAACAACTGATTACAATTTAAATGATGTTTTAGGCTTTTATTTTTATTTCACCAATTTGGTAAATTATATGTTTTATTAAAATAGTCTATTATACTTTAAAAAATCGATTAGTTATTAATCGATTTGGGTAATTGAATAATAATCAGTCGCTCAAAATCCATATTGATTTAAAATGTCATATCTCTAGTCGTGTACTTTGACGTCACGACAAGAGCGCCAAAACTTCCGGTGTTTAAACTGCTCGTAGCTATTACTTATTTTCGTCAATGATTAATGTTACAAAATTTTAATTTTTCGGTCCCGGGTATGTTTTTACAGTTATATATCGATGTTAATTATCATATAAAACCATTTTACAAAAATGTGCATATTCCCTATTATAGGTCCCTGCCCCCGCCAGTAGGGGGCCTCTCAGTTGGTTCATAAAAATTCTATTAAATATTATTCTAATGTCACACTTTTAGGGTTGCCAACCGTAATCTAAAACAGAGTATTGTACTCTGTATTATATAGACGTAAAATCTCTAACACTAATACAGGCTAAAATACTTATACTTTTTTTCTCACTATATTTATATACTGCCAGTCACGCATATATGATGCGTACCTATTATTGTAATTAAAAAAGTGCGAAACAATACCAACAAATATCTCTTTAAAAATGTTATATAAATTATACTTTTAAGAGTTCGATACTTTAGTTGTACTGTTTGTCTGTACCCAGGCTGTATCTCATGATCCGTGAAAGTAAGACATGAAATTTTCACAGATGATGTATTTCTGTAGCCACTTCAACATCAAATACTAAAAATCAAAATAAAATAAATATTTAAGGGTGCTCCTATACAAGAAACGTGATTCTTTTGCTTCATATTGATAAGACGTTTGAAATATTTACAGAATATGTATTTATATAGTAATTTTAACAATAAATAATCAAATTAAAATTAAGCAAATATTTAAAGGATCATTTTTTTGCTCGTTTCCGGTACGGAACCATTTGTGCGTGAGTCCGACTCGCACTTGTTGATATAAATAAGTCCGTACTCTTTCTTTTTTGAAATCAGATGTACTATTTTTCTTCTAATGAAAATTGGCAACCCTACTCCTCATGTGTGATGTAATTTATGAATGGAAGGAGAAAATGCTTAAAATTCAAAACACCATCACCATCATACGCATTTGGTCTGGTGAATGTGCTGCATACTATAGGAAACGGAAAAGCGTTGGTTTTGCCACCGCACGCAGCTCGATGCGCACGCCTACGTTTCCATTCAACGGAACCGAGCCATATTGTGTAACACTTACCTACCTTACTTAAGAAAGATGACTTAACACTACGCATAAAGCCCGATTAATAATATCAATAAGTACAGTGGCGAGTACTAGAAAACTGGCTGGCGGTAAGAAAAAAACGATAATTAATTAAACAGATCCAAAATCAGAAACTTTCAACTGTGTTGTGTAGTAAGAAATAACGTCTTCATAATTTTATCAGTGGAAGAAATTCACAAAGTTGCCCCCTATAATTCACAATTTTCCATGTCTTGTTGTAAATAAATCCTTTTTATAGGGACAATTTATGATTATGGCAGTTGCTACTTCTTTTGTTTCCGAGGGAATATTATAGGGAAATTTACCTGTATACTTTGCTTCCGAGGGAATTATGCAAAACCTACTTTTATAGTAATCGTAGTTAAACTATTTGTTAAAAGAGTAATAATTTGAGTAACGTTTTTGAAGTGCCATTCGCCATAATCCTATATCTGATGTCTTAGTCTTTTGGCTTTACTAAGCATTTGTCTCGATAAAGCATTATAAATGAATCATAGATCAAATATAGTAAAGGGAAAATATCTTATTTTTATATAATAAATAGATTGTAACATAATACGTAGATTGGAATTACTGCGTTAACGCTAACGCTCTTTGTTCTCTATTTTGTTACAGAACATTTCCATTTAGTATTTACTATCATTCATGCCGTAATCTTTTGATCTCGTTCATCTCAATCGAAATAAAAATAAAACGTAACGCGGACATAAATAACAATCAGGTGCCTAATTGAGTTTAACAGACGCCCACCAGCGGCTGCGGAAGCATGCTTACTACATTAAATTGAGTACAACATTCATCAATCATCATAAGTTCATTCATGGTGGTTTCCGCGGCGGTGTCATATAATTCTCCTATCTTTACCAATATTATAAAGAGAAAAGATTGAATATAGTTTTACCAACCTATTTGTTGTTTTAAATTGATGATGCCCCTGTTTTCTATTTCATTCCTAATTTTAGCTGTTTTTCAATTGGCTTCCATTCGGCACCACCTATTATTACACTACGAAAAATTGCAAATATAATCCGAAATAACCGATTGCTACTTATTAGGAGCTGCAGAAAGGCACATGAAAGAATTCAACAGTTCAGTTAAAAAAAAAAGAGAAAATACAGAAGATGAGGAAATTGAGGGTGAAAGTAGGAAATCATTTAAATTTTTCTTTTATTAT